ATTACATACACACGTGTTATTTCATACTTGTTCGTGTTTTTGATAATATCGATCAGCCGAAAAGAAGCACATAAGAATGACAGACTGGAACGCAGGCTAATGTACATGTATGGTGTACAATTTTTGTAACAAATATGAATGGTTTAAAACATTTTTTTTCGGGTCCCATCCAAGATATTCTCCCCGTCCCAACCATGAGTATAAGTCAGGTAATCATCCTTTACGTATACTGACTTTACAAAATAACTTTTGCTTACACATTTATTAACAATAACTCGTGATTATAGCATGGGGTTATGGTCATACCCTAAATGATTTCCTCCTTGTTATTGGATGAAACTGAAAGGTTGAATGGTCCGGATTCCGATTGCTAGCACAAGTGTAAATTAGTCGTTATTCAGGTGAAAATGTATTGAATGTTTCCATGTTGTTATTTTAACGCTATAATTTGTTTTAACATTGATTTGTTTTAACATCTGTATATGTTGTATGTTGCGTGTATGTAATTGTTTAAATTATTATCATGCATCACATGTTTATCAATATATCGTTCTTACTATTGCTGTACTTCAACACTACATTCTTATGGTGTTGTATATACAGATGTTCCCAGAATAAATGTACAGTACCTTTGATTTCTTATTAAAATTATTAAGGTTTTGCACCCATTTCGATCTGTATCGCATAATTGTTATACCTCAACACCGCATGAATAATGGTAAAAATACATTTTGTTACAATGATGCCAATATTTAGAATAGAATCTTATTTTATAACGGTCATATTATTTTCTAACATATTTTGAAAATAAAAACATAACTTGTACACGAAATAAATATCTTTATAACCATATCATTACTATATTATAGTACTTATTATGCATGTATATTTATAATAAATAAATTAAAGTATTATTATGGCGAGTGGTTAGCGCGTCGGACTAGTCATCTATGTATCGCTCGCCGTGTTGGCACAAAGCCAGTTAGGGGCAAGCCGTTATTTCCTTGAGCAAGACACTTAACACTAAATGAATAATAGAATATATCATCCAACTTTCTCCTCATAATCAGAACATCTTACCACTACGCTGCTCAGTTGTACGTATCCATATTCTATATATCAATAAAAATGCAAAGTGAAATAACTGAATAACTTGCACAACCCATTTATATCATAATGGTATGACCCGTTAATGTAAACGTTATCGAGTTCGACTTGAACTTTTGTTTACATAATAAGAGCGAAAAAAATATGGAAAGCCATGGCTGTCTTATATTGTTCTTTTCGAATTTATCTAACCATTTGGATAATATATAAGTTCACTTCGACTATATATGAATTGAAAACACCTTATTTAACCGGAATCCATTATGTTAATCCGCAGTTACAATATATGAAACCATACCGTCAGTGTATGAAACCGAGTTAGCAATATATAACAAGGGGGAGAATCACGCCGCACGCCGTTCGTTACCCAAACGAACAAGATGGCAGATGCAGCCAAGATGTAGTTGTTTCCACTTTTTTCTCTGAAATTCGTGATGTTCTAAAGTAAAAGTACGCATAACAACCTTCTCCACAATTTTCCTGGCACACAGGATTTTATTTCATGATGTTTCGTCCCGTACTTCATCTGAAATGCGCGTCACCAGATTCGAAGCGAGAGAATTTTCCATCGGTTTGATCGTGGTAACGTACGACTTTTTCTCTCAAATTCACCGTTTCTTTTACATATATGTATGTTAACTGAAACCACTGACTAATATGTCGTCATCTAAGCAGTCATGCCCATTCGTGCTAGATTTACTGCTGTAAATATTAATATCGGAGCATTTTCCGGAAATGATAACGTTATCAATGATAACGTACGGCGCATTTAACTACTGGGTGGATTTACATTTGTCCAATCAGCTGATAATGAATTATTCTTATGTAGGAAATGATAGATATCTGAAAAATGTTGGTCATGTCAGAAATTATTAATTGAACAATGCTGTACCATCGGATATAATAATCTTTATAGCTGGTGGCATAATAGATATCGATGGAAAATTCTCTCGCTTCGAATCTGGTGACGCGCATTCCAGATGAAGCACGGGACGAAACATCATGAAATAAAATCATGTGTGCCAGGAAATTGAAGGTTGTTATATGTACTTTTACATTAGAACATCACGAATTTCAGAGAAAAAGGGAAAACCCTACTTTTTGGCTGCATCCGCCATCTTGTTTGTTTGGGTAACGAACGGCGTGATTCTCCCCCGTGATATAAGTTGATTTTCTCAATATATGATTCCAGTTCTTCAATATATGGTACCAAAGTAGCTATGTATGGAATCAGATATCCTTAAATGAATCCGAATTATCAATATATCAATTAATTTTTCAATATATGAATCCAATTTATCAATTTATGAAACCAAAGTAGAAATATGTTAGTTGGTTTTAACATTATATGATACCAATTCTTCAATATATTGTACCAAAGTAGCAATACATGGAACCAGATGTCCTGATATGAAACCGAATTATCAATATATTAATTCATTTTTACAATATATGAAACCAGTTTATTATTGATGTAACCGAAGTAGCAATATATAAGACGATTATCACATTATATGATACCAGTTCTTCAATATTAATGTTGATTTTTACATTATATGGCACCAATTTCTCAATATATTGTCATAGGTTGCTAGTATATGAATCCACTTTTCCAATATATGGAACCAAATGAGCAATGCGTGGAACCAAAATGTCATTATACTGACAGGCTTTTTTAAAGGCTGTATTCTATCCTCGCACCGGTATTATAGTTTCGCGCCAATATTCCTTGTTGAACTGTCAAAAGACCAGCGTGCTTCACTAATGGCAAACTGCACATTTTCTTAATAAGGAAATATTTGAATTTAACGTCACATTCAATTACTTTGGCCTTAAAATGGGATGGGAGGGCAAAACTTATCGTTACGAGGTTTTAGTCATAATTTAAGCTACTGAGTCGTACTGACCATAAACAAGAACATATTTAAACATAAGTTTATCTCGACCTTAACCTTTGATCAAAAATGGGCATGGCCAGTAGGACACATCAAGGTTAATCTATTCACAAAGTTGTCAAAATAACCAGTCAAATAATTGATTTTATGAAAAAGTGTATGCCTTGTAATAACAGAACCCAGTGACCTCGGCCTTTGACTTGTTGACTTGAAAATAGGCTATTTTGATTCCATGTAATGGAAATTGCTGTCATAGAATGTAACATCAACTTATATACTGCCTCTTTGGTTCCATACATTAATATAATGGTTTCATATATTGTAAAAATAATTCGGTTTCATATAAGGGCATCTGGTCCCATATATATCTACTTAGGTACCATATATTGAAGAACTGGTATCATATAAAGTGATAATCAAGTCATATATTGCTACTTTAGTTCCGTACATTGATAAATTGGTTTCATAAATTGTAAAAATGAATTAATATATTGAAAATTCGGTTTCATATCAGGACATCTAGTTCCATATATGGCTACTTTGGTACAATATATTGAAGAATTGGTATCATATAATGTGATAACCAACTTATATATTTCTACTTTGGTTTCATAAATTGATACATTGGTTTCATATACAAATGTATTGAAAAATGAATTAATATTTGTGATAACTCGGTTTAATATCAGGATATCTGGTTCCATATATGGCTACTTTGGTACCACATATTGAAGAACTGGAATCATATATCGAGAAAATCAACTTATATATTGCTAACTCTGATGGTATGGTTTCATATGTTGTAGCTGTGGATTAACATAATGGATTCCGGTTAAATTAGAAGGTGTTTTCAATCCATTTATAGTCGAAGCGAACTTATAAATTATCCAAATGGTTAAATATATTAAAAAAGAACAATATAAGACAGCCATGGCTTTCCATAAAAAAGGTAAATCTAGCTGATGCCTTATGAATAAAACACAAAGTAAAACGTCAGATTTTTATGTGCCTTGATAGCGCAGTAGGCAGAGCGAACGTTTCAGTGTTATATTCATGGTCGAATCAACTTCACGCCGTCAGGCCGCGGGGCCGCCAACTTCACACATCTCTACGGGAAGTGTTTTTCTTCAGAAACAAGATAATTGGGTCTTTAAACCAGTATCATTTGCGTCATGGGCATTTATTCCCATACAGTACTCTTGAAAAAGAAGCACAAGGAGTAGATACTAGGATTGAACGATATACTGACTTTTTTAGTTAGAATAAATCTTACCAATGTCGTCGATTTTACAGTTTTTTACAATGCCCAAGTTAAGTGTTGTATGATTTTAGATTCCAGAAGATCAATGACTAGTTCAATAGAAATTCGAACATCCAAATGTTAAACATTCTTTAACATTCAACTGACATTATTGCCTAGGTAAAAAACACTTGTCTCAAATGAATATTTCGTTCTACCACTTTCAATAGCGATAAGTTATTTTATGTTGCTATTACATGATATCGCTAGAACATATTACTACATAATTTGATGACAATGACTACCATTGCCAAATACATGGTCGATTTTATTCGGAAAAATGCATATGTTAATACACCTCATGGTATAATTGGGTACCAAAATGAGTGTAAGTTTCACGAGGGTTGAACTAAATTATATTAGCCTCTTTGCAAATGAGTTTCAATTAATTTAACAAAAATGAAACCTACACCAAATAGTGTAAACGCCAAACAAGGAGTGAGCATTTCAACTTTTTATAAACGTTCAAAATATAAGCACAGCTGGACCATACCAATAGTTTACAGAGTCGCCCAAAAACAGTATATTACAATCTTTATGCTTATTACATACAAAATGATGTAACGACTTTTTTAATTGAATACAATGTTTTAAATATACGATAAAAAGCTATTAAGAAGCGTGATAATAACAACAAAACATCAAATTGTGACTTTTCTATAACAAAACAATAAATAAATGTGATCGAGTTTACTTACCTGAAAATCACATATCGCCAATTTCAGATGTGGTTTCTCTCTGTTGATGACAAAACCAGTACTTACAACAAGAGGACAATGATGGTCCTAATATCGCTCATCTGATTAAAAATAATAAAATTTAAAGGTACAAGTGAACTAATAAGCGAAAGCAGATACAAAAATTTAATCTTAAACTGATATCATAAAGTTCATATTATTTTGTATTTGAAATAGTGTTTGTGTAAAACATTAATAGCTGCCTTTGCAATGGGACAACAATAGTTACTAAGGGCTACACTGATTGTTGCTATTAAAAATCAGTGGTTTCCTTTTGAAGTCTCTGAATGCTATAAAATTCAATGACAGATAAAAAAAGTCAATGTTTGTTATGTAAGTGACTGGATGCTACAGAAATTTACAGTTTGCTATGAAAGGCTGCTATAAAGTCACTGGTTGCTACAAAAGTCAATAGTCATTATTGAAAGATTGTAAAGGAAAGTCAATGGTTCTTTTGGAAAGTCAATGTTTGCTATTGAAAGACAATGGTTGCTATCAGAGTCACTAATTGCTATATGAAGTACTGTTTGCTATGGAAGTCAATGTTTGCTGTAGAAAGTCACCGGTTGCTATGGAAGTCTTTGGTTGCTTTAGACATTCAGTGGTTGCTATTGAAGTCAATTGTCGATATTGAAAGTCAATGGTTGCAATAGAAGTCATTGGTTGTTATGGAAAGTCAAGGGTTGCTACAGGAAGTCACTGGAAAGAATGAAAAATCACCGAGTGTTAAAGAAGCCTTTTGTTTCAATTGATAGTTAATGGTTGCTATGTGAGACACTAGTTGCTATGTGAAGTCATTAGTTATTTGGAAGTCAATAGTTGCTATGGAAAATTACTGGTTCCTATGAAAGTCACTGGTTGCTATGTATAGTAAATGGTTACAATGGTAGTCAATAATTGCTATGGAAAGTCATTTGTTGTCATGTAAGTATATGGTTGCTATGGAAAGTCACTGGTTGCTGTGGAAGTCACTTGCTGTCATGGAAGTGTATGCTTGCTATGTAATTATGTCTATGGAAAGTTAGTGCTTATGATGGAAGTCAGTAGTTTCTAAGGAAAATCAATGGTTGAAATCATGGTCATGGCTGCTTTGGAAAATCAATGGTTGTTCTGGAAAGGCAATGGTTGTCATGGGTAGTTAATGTTTGCTATGTCAAGTCATTTAGTGTTAAAAAAGTATATGTTTGCTCTGGAATGTCAACGGTTACTACGTGAGTCACTGGTTGCTATGGGAAGCCACTGGTTGCTATTGAAGTCTGTTTTGCTGTAAATGTCAATGGTTGCTTTAAAATCAAGTGTTGCTATGAAAAGTCTATGGTTGCTACCAATGGTTGTCATGGAAAGGCAATAGTCGCTAGGGAACTTAATGGTTGCTATGGATGTTTGGAAAGTCATTGGTTGCTATTTAATTGTATTTTGCTATGTAAAGCTAATAGTTGCTATGTGAGTCAGTCACTGGTTGCTATTAGGAAAATCTATGTTTCCTTCTGGTGGGGACAATTTTGACACCAATGGTATAATTCGAATAATTTTGTTGAGGCTGACCTGACTTTGATTCTTTATTAAATTTCGTAAGATGTAGCCCTTGCAGTTTTCAAGGAGATTCTTGAAGTATTTATAATATAAAGAAAACCCATGACCCAAAAGGGCGGGGCCAATTTTGATCACAGGGCTATAATTTGAACAAACTTAGTAGAGGTCTCCTAGATACTGTTTAATGTAAACAAAAAATAAGCTTAAGTTCTTGTTGTTTGAAAGAAGACATTGTATTTTACTTAATACATATAAGAAAAATCTATGCTCCACCGGATGGGGTCAATTTTGAGCCAAGAGCTATAATTTGAACATTTTTTAAAAAAGTATATATACAATATTTGATACCACATATTCAATAAATAATAGAAGTCTTTTTTATGTCTTCACTAAATAAATATAAGGAAAATAAATTACCCCTTGAACGGCACCAGTTCATCCAATGGATTTTATTGGAACAAACTTGGTAGACATTCCATGCTGAATATCTAAGCTGAAGCTCGTTGGCTCTGTTAGAAGACTTTTTTTGTTTTTGTTTTAACTACCTGTATACATATAAGTAAAATTAATGACCCCTTGGGACAGGACCAATTTTGATCCCAGGTGTTTTATTTGAACTATCTTTGTAGACACTCACAGAAGATGTTTTAATGCTAAAAGACTAAGCCTTAGCTCGTTGGCGTTTTAATAAGATCTTTTTGTTTACACTCTATAAATGTAAGGAAAACCAATGACCCCTTTGGGCAGGGCCATTTTAATACCAGCTTTCATTTGAACAAATTTGGTAGACACCCACAAGAAAATGTCTCATTTTAAATATCTTAGCTCTTTGGGTTTTTAAAGACGATTACATAAGGTTTTTTTTTCGTTTGGTTGCCATGGCAACCAAAGTTCTGCATGTAATTCGATTTTTTGTACAAATTGTAAAGGTGACAACAAAAGAAACATTCCTGTGATGTTTTGATGAAACTGGCTCAGCGGTTTATGAGAAGATGTCGTTTAAAGTAAAAGTTTACGGACGGACGTCCAGACGAATAACGATCACAAAATCTCACTTTGTGACAGTTGAGCTAAAAACAAGATCGGCTTATAATCTTGATCATATGATACATTTCTCTTGCCTTTACCTTTTCTTATGCATATTTTGCTGTATTTTCATTATGTCCCTATGAATCGTTTTAATCTGTATCCACATACATTAAAGTATACACTTCTTAATTAAATCACGAACATTTCCTTGGTCGAATAATTTTCTTTTTGCCCGTTAATGTAAGGCAACTCGTTAAATCGTAGAAGTGTTTGCATTTGTTATTGTATTTAATTTGCATTTGCATAAAGGAAGGTCAGTGTGTTAGTTTTGGAGTAAGTTAGATAGCAGGAAAATGTTTTCAAGATACATGTAATGTCACCTAGTTCGTTTAAACAGCAAATAAAATACAACCCAAACAAGAAACCAACAAACAACAAAACAATGCTAATTAAAAGAGTATATATACCAACAATATTTACTTCAAAGAAACGAATATCTATTAAATATCTTTGATAATTTATAAAGAAAGATACATGTAGTTTACTTCTACACAGTCACTTTATTACAAATAGGAATAATCACACAATTGCATATTTCTGTATTTAAGAACAATGCTGGGAACACTGTTGTGCCGATTTACCATCTGACATGTCACAGAGTATGGCATCACACTTGACGGAAACATCATGTGTACTTGTCGTGTCAAATACTTTAAACACAAACTTCGTCTCGTGATCAGTCTGTGATAGTAGATGAGTATTTGTGTCTACTTCACACCTTTCAAATAAAGTTAAAACACAATTGTGAAATACAACAAATGATAATGTATGCATCTATTGTCTGCTTGTAAGTTTTTTTTTTCTTAATATCCGTTCAAGTCAAGTCAATATATATTTGAGCCGCGTCACGACAAAACCAACATAGTGCGTTTGCGACCAGCATGGATCCAGACCAGCCTGCGCATCCGCACAGTCTGATCAGGATCCATGCTGTTCGCTTACAAACCATATAACAAGTAGAGAAACTGATAGCGAACAGCATGGATCCTGATCAGACTGTGCGGATGCGCAGGCTGGTCTGCATCCATGCTGGTTGCAAACCCATTATGTTGGTTTTGTCATGACGCGGCTCATTTATGGTTGAAATGTATATACATGTATACATAACTTGTTTAGATAAGCAATTTTAAAACATTCTTTTGATAATAAACACTAATTTATATTGGAATCAATGACTTCGACGGACAGAAAGAATAATATCGAAAACATACATTTGGAACGTTGTACTGAGCAACTTTTAAAAGATACCAGATATCACTAGACCATCTGGTGTTCAGAGTGGTGTGTAAGAAAGAAGTTCCTTGATAGAAGTACACTATGATATGAGCCGCGTCATGACAAAACCAGCACAATGGGTTTGCGACCAGCATGGATCCAGACCAGCCTGCGAATCCGCGCAATCTGATCAGGATCCATGCTGTTCGCTTACAGACAAGAAACTGCTAGCGAACAGCATGGATCCTGATCAGACTGCACGGATTCGCAGGCTGGTCTGGATCCATGCTGGTCGCAAACGCACTATGTTGGTTTTGTCATGACGCGGCTCATATTTTCTAACTTACCCGTTTTTAATGAGATAATATTTTCCACCTTGTATTGTCATGTAACAAGTATGTAACCTCATCTTCATTGTCCAGTCAACGTCAGTGATAAATGACTTAACAAACACATTTGTACCAACTGGAACTCTTATTGGATTTCCAGATATTGTCTGAAATTTTTATTTGGAATGACAGAAAATGTTAACTTTAAGCTAATATATTTGATCACAAATAGTTTTATTTCTATCAGTTATTAACCAGCAAATATTTGAATCTACAGGTTACATGTATCATATGCTACATAAAAATATGTCATTTCATTTAGAGTTCTTCTTACCGTACCTGCGAAAATGATCTTCTATTTCAAGTGCAGACATTTGAACGCTACTTTTTGTCAGACATTAAATTAATAAACTTGAAATTAAGAACAATTAGCATTTTATAATATGGTATCAAACACTTCAAATGGAAAACGTTTATCTTCTCAGAAGAATATATGTATCTGTATTCTAAAAAGAACTAGAAACACAAAATAATAATGATAATAAATAATCAAAACAAAAGAAACAAGAATGTCGAACGACACATATACCCCCCTTTCTAGCCATTGACTCACATGATTGGTAATTTTATTAAAGAAACTTTCCAAAAATGGGTACATGGAAGTGTTCAATTATGGAAAAATCAACGGAAACCATTTTGACATTTAAGGCCCATGTGACATTGACCTTTGACCTAATGACCCCTAAATCAATAGAGGTCATATAATACTTATGACCAATAACTAGGTGAAATATGAAGACTTTGTGATGAATACTTTTCAAGATAATCAGCGGAAACCCTTTTGACATTTAAGGCCTCTGTGACCTTGACCTTTGACCTAGTGACCCCAAAATCAATAGGGGTCATCTACTAGTGATGACCAATCACTATGTGAAATATGAAGACTTTGTGATGAATACCTCTCAAGATAATCAGCGGAAACCATTTTCTCATTTTAAGGTCCCTGTGACCTTGACCTTTGACCTAGTGACCCCAAAATCAATAGGGGTCATCTACTAGTGATGACCAATCACTATGTGAAATATGAAGACTTTGTGATACATACTTTTCAAGATAATCAGCGGAAACCATTTTGACATTTAAAGCCCCTGTGACCTTGACCTTTGACCTAGTGACCCCAAAATCAATAGGAGTCATCTTCTAGTTATGACCAATCACTATGTGAAATATGAAGACTTTGTGATGAATTCTTTTTAAGATAATCAGCAGAAATTATTTTCAAATTTTAAGGTCCCTGTGACCTTGACCTTTGACCTAGTGACCCCAAAATCAATAGGGGTCATCTACTAGTTATGACCAATCACTGTGTGAAATATGAAGACTTTGTGATACATACTTTTTAAGATAATCAGTGGAAACCATTTTGACATTTAAGGTCCCTGTGACCTTGACCTTTGACCTAGTGACCCCAAAATCAATAGGGGTCATCTACTTGTTATGACTAATCACTGTGTGAAATATGAAGACTTTGTGATGAATACTTTTCAAGATAATCAGCGGAAACCATTTTGACATTTAAAGCCCCTGTGACCTTGACCTTTGACCTAGTGACCCCAAAATCAATAGGGGTCATCTACTAGTTATGACCAATCACTGTGTGAAATATGAAGACTTTTGTGAAACATACTTTTCAAGATAATCAGCGGAAACCATTTTGACATTTAAGGTCCCTGTGACCTTGACCTTTGACCTAGTGACCCCAAAATCAATAGGGGTCATCTACTAGTGATGATCAATCACTGTGTGAAATATGAAGACTTTGTGATACAAACTTTTTAAGATAATCAGCGGAAACCATTTTGACATTTAAGGTCCCTGTGACCTTGACCTTTGACCTAGTGACCCCAAAATCAATAGGGGTTATCTACTAGTTATGACCAATCTTTGTGTGAAATATGAAGACTTTGTGATACATACTTTTTAAGATAATCAGCGGAAACCATTTTGACATTTAAGGTCCCTGTGACCTTGACCTTTGACCTAGTGACCCCAAAATCAATAGGGGTCATCTACTAGTTATGACCAATCACTATGTAAAATATGAAGACTTTGTGATAAATACTTTTCAAGATAATCAGCGGAAACCATGTGGTCTACCGACGGACAGACCGACAGACCGACGGACGGACCGACAGACAGACAGACAGACAGACAGACCGACATTAGCAAAACAATATACCCCCTCTTCTTCGAAGGGGGGCATAACAACTCGGTCTTCTGTAACAAGTGTTAGTGACGTGATCACTTCTTCTTAATAACAATAATTTAAAAAAGGGTTTATAAAATGTTTAGTTCACAAATAGGCTATAATTTGTCAAAATAGAAAAAAATGAAATTGCGTTTATTTCCCTTTAAACTTAAAACAAACCACTTACCGTCATGAAGTTTGGGTCGGAGAAAAAAAGAGTACTGATATTGTATGTGCTACTGGTATTAAGTATTGAATTAGCGGTGTCAATGTTCTGATTGGTGTATGTGACATTGCTGTGAACGAATTGGTCTCTTGGAACTAGACAGTGTAAATCAACTGTCCAATTAAAACTCCTTATGATGAAAGAGTAATCAGGGTCGTGAAAGGCATAAACAAGCTGGTTGGTGAACATGATTTCTTTGTCCGTCACCTGTTATAAAAACAGCATGGACACATTTCATCCAATTCTTTTAATACATCATTGAAATATTACGGACTTATACAAAATTATGACGAGCTTTGATAAGTTTTAATAACTATACACCTTGTTTAATCATTATATTAAGTTTCTACGGAACTTATTTTTAACTTTATTCCAGTTCGAATGTGTACGAAGCTTTAAGCTTAGAGACAAACTTTCGGGTCCGTAAATGAAATAATTCTAGGAAGCCATTGATTCCCTCATACAATGAGCATAAAAACCTTATAACGTTGTATAATATGTATGAGCAATGTCATATAGTATACAAATATGGACTTTTTAGCTGTTGAATATGATGTGATATGTACTGAAATAATTAATATTGACCGAGGCGATAGCCGAGGTCAATATTAATTTTTCAGTACATATCACATCGTATTCAACAGCTAAAAAGTACATATCTGTTTTATTATATAATTTATAAATAGCTTTTATATGGCTTATCACATCTGCCATTGCATACGACAGAAGCTTGTCTAGTGTTTCCATAATTTGGCCCTTTCCATTGGTATACTTATCCCTATTGTTCTTAAAAATGAAAAACGGTAACTAAAATAGACTAATTTGACTCTTATGTACACCCAACTCAACGTTTTTTCAGAATAATAACATCAAACTTGGCGTGACATCACGTCAAAGTCACGCATCTTTTAGGGATTTCCAGAAAATCTATTTTTAGAAGAAAAACCGGTGAATATACTCTGAAAATCTATTTTTAGGAAAAAAACAGTGAATATTATACAAATATGGACTTTTTAGCTGTTGAATATGATGTGATATGTACTGAAAAAATTAATATTGACCGAGGCGATAGCCGAGGTCAATATTAATTTTTCAGTACATATCACATCATATTCAACAGCTAAAAAGTACATATCTGTTTTATTATATAATCTATAAATAGCTATTATATGGCTTATCACATCTGCCATTGCATGCGACGGAAATAATTATTTTTCAACTTGTCTACTGTTTCCATAATTTGGCCCTTTCCATTGGCATGCTAATCCCTATTTTTCTTAAAAATGAAAAACGGTAACTAAAATAGACTAATTTGACTCTCATGACTACACTAAACTGAACGTTTCTTCAGAATAATAGCAACAATCTTGGCGTGACGTCATGTCAAAGTCTCGCGTCTTTTAGGGATTTCCAGAAAATCTATTTTTAGAAGAAAAACCGGTGAATATACTCTGAAAATCTATTTTTAGGAAAAAAAACAGTGAATATACTCTGATATTGACCTGTTATTTTTTACAAAAAGTTGCTTGTTAGCCAATCAGGGAAAGGCATTTCAAAGCTATTTATAGATTATATAATAAACTCTGATATTGACCTGTATTTTTTACAAAAAGTTGCTTGTTAGCCAATCAGGGAAAGGCATTTCAAAGCTATTTATAGATTATATAATAATGTATGACATATTGCCCGAGGTCAATATTATTTTCTGTCATTGAATTCACATCATAGTCAATGGCTCATTTGTATGGCGGCTGATTTCTGCCATTCCATATCTTCGCGTCTTTGCCTCCAAGGCGAAGAAACGAAAATTTGCCACTTTTTCGAGCCTTTGTGTCGTCGTGTCTTCGCTCCAGAAGTCGAAGAAACAATAATTGGCCACTTTTCGGAGTCTTTTTGTCGTCGTGTCTTAGCTCCAGAAGTCGAAGAAACGATAATTGGCCTCGTTTCGTAGTCTTTTTGTCGTCATGTTTTCGTCCCGGAAGTCGAATATTATAATAATATAATTATAGTTTAGTTATTTGTTTGAAGAATACATGTTTTAATCTTATTTTTATTACACTTTTGAATCATAGAAAAGGGGTTGGGGGACAGGACTTGTCCCGGATGTCCAGCTCCTATGCTTTGTTTAAAAACAGAAATTGTTTTCTGATTTAAAAACCGAAAAGTTTTTTTTTTTGAAAATAGGTCATTCCGTCATCATAAACATAAAACGTGTGTTACGGATTAACATACACCTACCGATCAAACTTATCAACTGTGTCGGGGAATCAATTCATTTATTTTATTTCCTTGAGAGTTGCTACTTTCGCTTCTAAGCGGGAGACCGCAAGTTCGAATCTTAATCATTGCGGGATCTGTTTTGATGCTTTTGCATCTTTCTGTTACCAACTACAAATGTTCGTAAGAAAAGCAACTGAGAAAATAAAATAAAAGGTGACGCACAGTTTTTGTTGTTAAACAACCGTGAATGTCATGATAAAGAAGCAGTTGATGACCGGACTGTCTGCCTGTACATGTATTATCACCCAGGTATATATCCGACGACACCGATCCTGGAAATCTAACAAAATAATTTGATTCTATATATATGGTTATACGTTAACAGTAAGACGTTACAAAAAAAAGAAAAGTATTAAAGCTGCATGCCTCCAGAGATGACAAAATATTTCAATAAATTCAAACCTGAGAAAAATGTACTAACATTTTAAGAAAAGTAAACAGATTTAAGATTTAAATAATAATTTAATGCTATGTGCGAATAATGATCGATTTTTTTTAGTATTTATTAGCTCGACTTTTTTTTTTGAAAAAAAAAAAGAGTAGAGGTATTGTTATAGTCAGGTCGGCGTTGCCGTTGCCGTTGCCGGTGCCATTGCCGTTGCCGTTGCCGTTCCCGTCCGCAAACTTGTACCTGGATCATAACTTTTTTATTTCTTGGTGTATTGTCTTCATACTTGGCCACAACAACCCTTGGGACAAGTCCTTTCAGTAGACCACACTAACCTTGACCTTCATCCATAAATGACCTTGACCTTCAAGGTTAAAAGTCCAATTTTTGCTTGTTCATGCTGTTATTGGCTGTGACTTTGTTATTTTTGAATGGATTGTCTTCAAACTTGAACATAATAATCTTCAAGTATATCCCTTAAAAATAACCCGCCAGACCTTGACCTTCACTCATAAATGACCGTGACTTTGAATGTCAAATTATTGAAATTTTCATTTTTTTGGCTATTATTGGCTGTAACTTTGTTATTTTTGAATGGATTGTCTTTAAACTTGAACATAATTATCTTCAGGGATATCCCATAAAAATAACTAGACAGACCCTGACCTTCACTCATAAATGACCTTGACTTTGAACGTCAAATTATTGAAATTTTCATTTTTTTTTTGCTATTATTGGCTGTAACTTTGTTATTTTTGAATGGATTGTCTTGAAACTTGAACATAATAATCTTCAAAGATAACTGTTAAAAATATACCGAAAGACCTTGACCTTCACTCATTAATGACATTGTCTTTGAAGGTCAAATTATTGAAATTTTCATTGTTTTGGCGGTAACTGACTGTAACTTTGCTATTATTGAAGGGATCAATTTCATATTATAACAGAACATTCTTAAGGACCAGATCTCGTTGTTTATCAAACCCAAATTTGCTTGGGCTCTTTAATGACATTGACCTTGAAGGTTAAATTACTGAATTTTCTCAGATTTGTGCATTAAATGACCATAATTATATATTTATTGGTGTGTGTGTGTATATTATATATATATATACAACAACAACAAGAATTGCGTCATTGTTTCTATTTATAGAATTGCGTCATTGTTTCTTTTTTAGAAATTGCGTCATTGTTGCTACTTTTAGAAATTGCGTCATTGTTTCTATTTTTAGAAATTGCTTCATTGTTTCTATTTTTAGAAATTGCGTCATTGTTGCTATTTTTAGAAATTGCGTCATTGTTGCTATTTTAAGAAATTGCGTCATAGTTTCTATTTATAGAAATTGCGTCATTGTTTCTATTTTTAGAAATTGCGTCATGTTTCTATTTATAGAAATTGCGTCATGTTTCTTTTTTTAGAAATTGCGTCATTGGTGCTATTTATAAAAATTGCGTCATTGTTTCTATTTTTAGAAATTGCGTAATTGTTTCTATTTTTAGAAATTGCGTCATTGTTGTTATTTTTAGAAATTGCGTCATTGTTTCTATTTTAAGAAATTGCTTCATTCTTTTTATTTTTAGAAATTGCGTCATTGTTGCTATTTTTAGAAATTGCGTCATTGTTTCTATTTTTAGAAATTGCGTCATTGTTTCTATTTAAAGAAATTGCGTCATTGTTTCTATTTATAGAAATTGCGTCATTGTTGCTATTTTTAGAAATTGCGTCATTGTTTCTATTTATAGAAATTGCGTCATTGTTTCTATTTTTAGAATTTGCGTCATTGTTTCTATTTTTAGAAATTGCGTCATGTTGCTATTTTTAGAAATTGCGTAATGTTGCTATTTTTAGAAATTGCGTAATGTTTCTATTCATATATATATACAAAATATATAAACAAAACTAATGTGACAAGACAGACCAACTAAATTTATAAAAAGGAAACGTTAAGATATGTTCAAACCTTTCTTTGTTTGCGTTTAGAAAAAGTAAAAAGTCGAGCGTTGCCCACGCCCGGCGGTGGCTCTTGTCACCATATTTATACTGAGTTACAAACGCAGTAAAGGCTGTTTTTGAACAGTTTGACCACATTTGAGTAATTTACATGGGCTGTGAGTGTAATTTGTAATGTGTAGATTGCTTCCTTTCGATTTCTTCACAATATTTCACTTTGAAATACATTTTCAAACTTTTAATGAAATAGTGCATGAATCTGGTGATACGCTGCTTTAAAAGAAATATTATACCATAAATCAAAAGCCTTTTAAGTTTCTTAATTTTTTTTATTATTTATTTTTACTCTTTTTCTCTCTTTTTTTTCGTATTTTTGTTGCTGTTTATTTACAAAAGTTAAATTCTTTCGGTATTAAAACTTTGATCGCATTTACACATAATTCGTTACAAATAGTTGCCGTGAATTATGAAATAAACCCCATTATTCAAACCAGTTTAAACAAGTTGTGGAAGATATTTTCATACATGATATAGGTGATGATACAGCAGTTTTGGTTAACACGATCTGGGTATCATTATTATGCAAAGAAGTGACATTTAAACTGCTTATTAAGTATTTTTTATTACCTGTAGTTAAGTTTTTCCATGTCTACCGTGACGTTCCAGTTGTTTGGAGAACAAGATGTATGAATGATATTGTTTAATGCTGGGGCTGTAACACAATCACAATAAATGTACAATTATATAATTATTCAGGAATTCCTGCGACAGTATTGAGTATGAAAGGACAAATCAGATTTGGAGGGCGTCATTTATTTAATTATTTTATTCAGATATGAAAATATTACTAGATACAGACTTTTAACTCTTATATAATGGAAACAAAACATTTTCAGTATTTAAAAACTTTTTAAGTCTGAAAATTGGTTGTGACTCTCGCAGCGTTCGTACAATCTATACCATTTCTTAACAAATATTTGTACAGGTTAAAT